CATAGATGTAATAAACCTTAACAAAATATTAGCAAATCAAATACAGAAATACATTAAAAGGAACATACACCATGACAAAGTGGGATTTGTTCCAAGGATGCCCAGATGGTTCAACATCTGCCAATTAACCAATGCAATACACCACATTAACAAAATGAGGAACAAAAACCACATGGTCATCTCAATAGATGTTGAGAAAGCATATGACAAGATCCGACATCCATTTATGATAAAAACTCTCAATAAAATGTGTATAAAAGGAAAGTACCTCAACATAATAAAGCCCATATATGACAAACCCACAGCCAAAATCATACTTACCAGTGAAAAACTGAAAGTCATTTCTCTGAGAACAGGAGCAAGACAAGGGTGCCCACTCTCATCACTCTTATTCAACATAGTACTGGAGGTTTTGTCTAGAGCAATTAGGCAAGAAAAGGAAATAAAAGGTATCCAAACTGGAAAGAAAGAAGCAAAATTCTGTTTGCAGATGACATGATTCTATATATAGAAAACTCTAAAGAATCCACCAGAAAACTATTAGACACAGTCAACAACTACTGCAAAGTTGCATGGTACAAAATCAACATGCAAAAATCGATTGCATTTTGGGGCCAGCCCCATGGCTGAGTGGTTGGGTTTGCACTCTCCACTTCAGCTGCCCAGGGTTTTGCTGGTTTGAATCCTGGGCGCCGACCTGGCACCACTCAACAAGCCATGCTGAGGTGGTGTCCCACATAGCACAGCTATAAGGACATGTAACTAGAACATGCAATTATGTACTGCGGGGCTTTGGGGAGAAAGAAAGAAAAAATTTGCAACAGATGTTAGCTCAGGTGCCACTCTTTAAAAAAAAAAAATCAACTGCATTTCTATACACTAGTAATGAACTAGAAAAAGAAAAGTTGAGAATATAATTCCATTTACAATTGCAACAAAAAGAATAAAATACCTAGGAATAAACTTAACCAAATAGGTGAAAGATGTATACACTGAAAACTATAAGACATTATTGAAAGAAATCAAAGAAGATACAAAGAAATGGAAAGATATTCCATGCTCAGGGATTGGAAGAATAAGCATAGTTAAAATGTCCTTATTACCTAAAGCAATCTACAGATTCAATGCAATCCCAATCAGAATCCCAATGACATTCTTGATGGAAATAGAACAAAGAATCCTAAAATTTATTTGGAACAAGAAAAGACCCCAAATAACCAAAGCAATCCTGAGAAAATGAATACGGCTGGAGGTATCACAATCCCTGACTTCAAAATATGCTCCACAGCTAGGGGCCAGCCAGTTGGCATAGTGGTTGAGTTCGCACACTCTGCTTCCGCGGTCTGGGGTTTGCAGGTTTGGATCCTGGACATGAACCTATATACTGCTCATCAAGCCATGCAGTGGCAGCATCCTACATACAAACTAGAGGAAGATTGGCACAGATGTTAGCTTAGGGCTGATGTTCCTCATCAAAGAGAAAAAAAAAAACAACCAAAAAACAGAAACAACAAACCTGTAGTAATTGAAACAGCATAATACTGGCACAAAAACAGACACACAGATCAATGGAACAGAACCAAAAGCCCAGAAGTAAAACCACACATCTACAGACAGCTAATCTTTGACAAAGGAGCCAAGAACATACAAGAGAGAAAGGAAAGTCTGGTCAATAAATGGTATTGGGGGGCCAGCCCCATGGCCAAGTAGTTAAGTTTGTGTGCTCCGCTTGGGCAGCCTGGGGTTCACCAGTTCAGATCCCAGATGCGGACCTATACACCACTCATCAAGCCATGCTGTGGCAGCATCCCACACAGAAGAACTAGAATAACTTACAACTAGGATATGTAACTATGTACTGGGGCTTTGGGGAGACAAGAAAAAAAAGAAGATTGGCAGGAGATGTTAGCTCAGGACCAATCTTCCTCATCAAAAAAAAAAGTATAAGTAAATAAATGGTGTTGGGAAAACTGGACAGCTACATGCCAAAGAATGAAAGTAGATCATTATCTTACACCATACACAAAAATTAACTAAAAATAGATTAAAGACTTGACCGTAAGACCTGAAACCATAAAACTTCCGGAAGAAAACATAGGCAGGACACTCTTTGACATCAATCTTAGCGGCCTATTTTCAAGTACCATGTCTGATCAGGCAAGGGTAACAAAAGAAAAAATAAACAGATGGGACTATATCAAACCAAAAAGCTTCTGCACAGCAAAAGAAATCACCAGCAAAACAAAAAGACAACCTAACAATTGGGAGAAGATATTTGCAAACCGTACATCTGTCAAGGGATTAATATCCAAAATGTATAAAGAACTCATACATCTCAACAACAAAAACCAAACAACCCAATTAAAAAACAGTCAAGAGATCTGAACAGACGTTTTTCCAAAGAAGATATACAGATGGGCAACAGGCAGATGACAAGATGTTCAACATCACTAATTATTAAGGAAATGCAAATCAAAGCTACAATGATATACCTCACACCCATCAAAATGGCTATAATTAACAAGACAAGAAATAACAAGTGTTGGAGAGGATGTAGGGAAAAGAGAACTCTCTTACACTGCTGGTGGAAATGCAAACTGGTCCAACCACTTTGGAAAACAGTATGGAGACTCCTGAAAAAGTTAAGAACAGAAATACCATATGATCCAGCTATTTCACTGCTGGATATTTATCCAAAAAACATGAAAACATGAATGCGTAAAGACACATGCACCTCTATGTTTATCGCAGCATTATTCACAATAGCCAAAACTTGGACACAACCTGAGGGCCCATCAAGGGACGAATGGATAAAGAAGATATGATATACATGCACAATGGAATACTACTCAGCCATAAGAAATGATGAAATCTGGCCATTTGTGACAACATGGATGGACCTTGAAGGTATTATGCTCAGTGAAATAAGTCAGATGGAAAAAGTAAAATACTGTATGATCTCACTCATAAATAGAAGATAAAAAAAAACAACAAACAGGGGATGGCCTGGTGGTGTAGTGGATAAGTTCGCATACTCCGCTTCAGCAGCCTGGGGTTCACTGGTTTGGACCCTGCGTGTGGACCTACACAGCACTCATGAAGCCATGCTGTGGTGGCGTCCCACATACAGAATAGAGGAGGATTGGTACAGATGTTAGCTCAGGGACAATCCTCCTCACCACCACCACCACCACCAACAACAAACAAACACATAGATACAGAGATTAGATTGGTTTACTGGAGGGGAGGCAGGGAGGGAGGAGAGTGAAAGCGGGGACTGGGCACGTGTGTGTGGTGATGGATGGTAATTAGTCTTTGGGTGGTGAACATGAGATATTCTACACAGAAATCAAAACACAATTATGTACACCTGAAATTTATACAATGTTATAAGCCAATGTTACCTCAATTAAAAAAAAGATTTTAAAATCTAATTCTCTTGTGAATATAAAATAATAGCTGTGAATATAAATATATTTTCATTTTGTTATTAGTAAAAATGATATGCCTTTGTGATTTAAACATTAGTCAAAATACTGGTACAGTTTAAGTTTTTAGAATTTTAGTAGTACAATTAAAATAGTGGAAAATGAGGCATAGACTCTGTGCTAAGTTGTAAAAGTGTAGAAGAAAATGTTACTAGAACAGTCGCTGTATTATCTTCTCCCAGAATTATCTGGGTGTGCTTGAACTTTTGGCAGTTTTAGTGATACATTTTGTGAAAGATCTCAGCTTAATAAGAATAGACACATAGTTTTGATTGCCTTACTTTATATTTGCTTCACTTTGCAAATTTATCTGTAAATTTCCTATTCGGTGCTGTTCTAATACCTTGCTTGTAAGAGAGAGGAGAGAAACCAAAGTAACGTTTGGTCCCTGCGTTTGGTGTTTGTCAAGGAAGTCAGAGTAATTCCTAAGAGGCCATTCACGAAGGCTATTTGAGAAGCTTTCATATGAAGTAACTTTAAAATGAAGAATCTTGAAATCCACTGAAACTGCATCTTGCTTATGATGGATTCTGTATTAGCACAGCAGACTTCATCAGCCTGAATGGAGTGGTGGCTCTGTGCTGCTAAGGAGAAGACAGTCTCACAGGGAAAATAGGCTATGAATCTTTCATTTCTGCAAGCCAACTTTAATTCCTACACTATTTTACACTATTGAAAAATCAGTTTATTTCCACTCATGATTTAATTTTATAACTGTAAAATAAAAACTACAGATAGAGTTTCATTTAAAAACTACTAAATCAGACTGTCATTTAAAAGGATCTTTCAGAAGTAAGGTAAGTATAACTTTACTAGTCTACCTTTACTAGAAGTAAGTACTTTTACTTAACATATTATTTATTCAGGTAGTTACTAAAACCAGAATTTAAAATCTATTTAGTTGACCCATTTAAAGTTGGTGTGTTTTATTCCTGTCATTCTTTTTTCTTTTCCAGGTGATCTCTGTAACTGAATTATTGAACTGATAGAGAGTTCTCTCCTCCTGTTTGGAGACTTAAACTATTTGACCTTTCTGTCATTAGGTTCATTTAATTTTTTATTACACTTAATTTGTATTATGACAGCAAATTCAGACTGGTGGATTACTTTAAACTTTCCTAGGGTATTTACAGATTTACTTCGTTCTTGAAATATAAAAATACTGGGAGGGCATTCTGTTTTTTATATATATATGTATATATATATATATTTTTTTTTTCTTGAGGAAGATCAGCCCTGAACTAACATCTGCTGCCAATCCTCCTCTTTTCTCTAAGGAAGACTGGCCCTGAGCTAACATCCATACCCATCTTCCTCTACTTTATATGTGGGACGCCTGCCACAGCACGGCTTGATGAGCACTGCCATGTCTGCACCCGGGATCTGAACCAGGGAACCCCGGGCCACTGAAGTGGAACGTGCGCACTTAACCGCTGCACCAGCAGGCCAGCCCCTGTTTTATATTTTTTTATTAAATTAACTTTAGAATAAAAAAACCATAGGGAAGCTCTGTGTAGTGAAATCACATATTTATTAAATCTTCTACGTACACTCTCCACATATTTGTACTTTATTTTTCTCTCATGTAAGATAATTCATTAAAAGAAACAGGTGATGGCAAATAAACTTTTTAGTGAAGTTTTAATTCTGTCAATTCCATTTTTATTTTGCTTGCATCACAGCGTGTAAGAAGTTTGGGCCCCAGTATGCCAATAATTAGAGCTCCATTTGGAGCTGTGATCAAGATGGCTAAAAACGCTACTGTCATCACATCCTTCGAATATGCTTCCAAATGGGGTGCGTTGATTCTTGCTGTTTCTAGAGCCAGAGGACCTAATACAGCCTGCGTTTAGGGGCGGGAAGGATGAGGCATAAAGAAAAATGTTAAAGAGTGTTAACATATAATAAAAGTAAATGGCTTTGTTAAAATCAACAAACAAAACTTAGCACTAAACTATTAGAATAGAGACAAGACAAAGTGCTGAGGAATTTTCACGAATTGTTCATCAATTCTATGTTCTTCCTAGCAAATGTACTTGGAGGAAGAGTGTAATAGTGACAGGTTAGTGTGCAGACATTTGGGGCTGATTTTGCATCTCAGCTGGTCCTGTTCAAATGTCTGCCTGGGGTACTGCTGTCACTCAGAACTGAGCGTTCTGACTGAACCGGGGTCTTGCTAACTTGCCTTTACCATGTACCACTTGGTTCTTGGCTGCAACAAGACAACACAAAATACTAAGGTTTCTCCTGGTTCTCTAGGACTTTCTTGCTCATTTTCCCCTGTTCTTCCTACTTGGGAAACAGCGTGATGCGGGAAAACTGACCAGAGGTTGGAATCTAAAAGCTGGGCCTGAGAGGTTACTTGTAGCATGGCACTGCAAGCAGCCAGCCTGGCCCATGGACCTGCTTTTCTAACCAAGGCACACAGAGAATTTTGTGGCGTGGAAACTCACAAGCTTCTGTTTAGGAATAACAACGGAGAAAAGAATGTCAGGAAATCAAGGCGTTAGGCTGCCAGGTTAAAAAGGTTAGCAATAAGTAGCAATACTTTGTAGTAGGAGAAGAATATCGTCGAATCAGAGGGCAAACCTGCACAGGCCTCCCCTTCCTTTCCTTTATTCATTCATTCAGTCGTCATTCATTTTTGGAGGCACGCAATGCTTATTTACTATGTACCTCCTGTGTGTCAGGCACTGTGTCAAGTGCTAGGGAGAAAATAATCAAACGCCCAGACACTGGGCCTGTCCCTCCCATGCAGGCTCTTGGGGAGAGTCAGTCATTAATCAAACAGCCGTCCAAATGAAATGGACAATTAAAAACAATGTGTCCATTCTTGTGTGGTGGAGTAGGTATCACGGGCACTAAAGAGATATTTTTAAAAGAATCAATGTGTCTCTACTTTAAAATCATAACATTTAGCTCTACAATATTCAGCAAAATGTAAAAATTCCAATTTTCAGATATATTCTTATTTTATATTCTGGGAAATAGAAAGAATGTTTTCATAAGTTTAGGAATTATTTGTCATTAAAAGTATATTTTTCAATTTCATAAGAATTGATTTTAAAACAGATTTCAAAAGATTACATTAAATGTAATGATAGTTATGATCAATTGAGCTAATAGCGCACATTTTTCGAGTGGAGTAACGTTTTTCATCTAGAATTTTCAAACTTCATCCACATTGACATGATTAGAATGGCTTTAACATGTCCTTACTTGGACCGTAGCTTTGGGCATCCAGGATAAAGCAATGAATATTTTCTCCTTGAAACTAAAGCCAGCAAAACACACCAATGCAAATGCAGAAGAAATGCGAATCAGTAACGCCAGACTCAAGGTGGCAACACAAAGGCCTACAACAGATAAAAACAAACACAAGTAACAAGATATTTGGCAAGAAGTCATTCTTTATGCCTAGAGATGTGATTTGTAAAAGTGTTGAAAGTATTTTAAGACTATTTCCTTTTTCTTTATTTAAGTAAAAATAATAATCACAAATCTGATTGAGGCTTCTAGGTAAAGTGCAAGAGATTATCTGACGGTAGAGGTACCATGAAAAATAAGATAGATTACATTTATTTAATTCTGACCTGATAGACTTTGAACTTTTACTATAAATGGAAGTATTCAAAAGGGGCTGATGGTATCTAATATTTCCCCTCAGAAAAGAATCCTAGTCTCCACTTCCTCCAGACACGTGGGCGGACTCAGGGCTGTCTGCAAATGGTGCACATGGGGTGAAGGAAGATGAAGCTGTTGCTACAGCCCCATGAGCTTCCCAAAGCCCTTTTAGCATTCAAGGACACATTGTAAGTAAAACACAAATTATTCGTAGTTTTCTTAAATATTTTCAAATCTTATATTTTTTGTGCCTCTAATCATTCTTACCGATAGCATTTGACTTAAGAGATGCAACAGATACTTCTGATCCAACCAAACCAAAAAGAAGGGGTTGAAAAACATTCCACACAGTTGAAATAATTTTTTGGACTTTCATCTACAGAAAAGAGTAACACACGTTTAGTCATCGTGGCACATAAAAATAACTGCATTTCAGAAATTTAAAGTTTCTCTTAACAGTTAATAAACTTAAGATATTTTATTTGTAGAAGAAATGTTAAAAGTTAATAAAAATTGAGTAGGTTAATTCTTCTACTCAAATACTTAGGTAAAATTTGATTAAAAGCAATCTACAAAGCTATAAAATAAAAATATTATTTGGTAATTTTGTCATGGAACATGTAAGTCTTTGGAGTTCCAGACATGTTCTGATGGGTCAGTAAGAGTTCTGGTTTTCGTCTGTCAGGTAATGGAATAGAGTTGGAACTGTATCACCCTGAGGAGAAGAGACTCAGCATCATGCCAACATTTCACTCAAAAGGGAGCTGGGAACACCCTCCTAACAATTATCCTGGAACTCAGCTCCCTGAAAGTGAATCCCCATGAGTCCCTAGCTACTAGGAAGAAAATTCTGGTAATCTGTTAGGCCTGCTTCCAAAGGACCCATGTTGGAAATTTCAAAATTATTTTTTCCTTAAAACCAAACCAAAAACATAGAATAGATTCTTATTTGGTTGCTGCCCTGCTTCCCTTTCTGGGACTGAGTCCCTCCCAGTGCTACTCCCCCAAGGATGTGGTGACAGCAGAGGCCCCTGCTGACGGAACTGCACCGGCTCTCCTCCAGGAGTAGGGTGCAGAGGCTTTTGTCTCGGTCTGGGCTTATCTTTTCTCTATAGAAGATACACAAAACCTTGATATCTTTTGTTTGGGGCTTAAAGCTATCTTCATAACTATTCTCCTTATGATTGAATTTTCTGATTGCCATTTATAAAAGTAAAGTTTAAAAAAGGAAAAAAAGAAAAAACAATATTACTCTTTCTTCTTTATAACACATTATCCTATTTATTACTGTTTTTCTTTTTTGCTTTTGCCGAGGAAGCTAACATCTGCTGTCAATCTTCCTCTTTTTGCTTGAGGAAGATTAGCCTTGGGCTAACATCTATGCCAACCTTCGTCTGTTTTGTATGTGGGTTGCTGCTACAGCATGGCTGACAAGTGGTGTGAGTCCACACCTGGGATCTGGGCCCGTGAACCTGGGCCGCTGACGCGGAACACAGCAAACTCAACCACTATGCCATGGGGCTGGCCCCTCCTATTTGTTACTTTTAATCTTTAAAATCTATTTATTCTTTACTGTTTGATTTTCTTTATCATATAAAAAAAGAATTCTAGTAGTTTTCATTTCATTTATCTAATTGTAATTTATTATTAACCATTTAATTTCTTTTATAATTATGATTTTATTGGAATACTAAACAAAATGCCAATATGATTTTTGAGTAGGGAACTGCCCAAGCTGATTCTAAAATCTATCTAAGAAAGAATATGGGTGGTAACAGCCAAGAAATACTTTAAAAATAAGTACAATGAGAGAGAATCTTTTATATTAGATTTTGAGATATAAAACTACAGTGATTTAAAATAGAGTGGTATTGGCATAAGAATAGATAAGTGGGACTAAATAGATTCCAGAAATGAACTTGTATGTACGTGAAAGGTTAGGTCATATTAAAAGAGGCATTTAAAAACTCACTGAAAATTAATGTCAATAAATTAGTCAATAAATAATTTGGCAAAAATTGACTATCCAATATATGTTCATATAAATATGTATCTATTACATGTATGCATATATGTCTATGAATACATATATATATATAATCACACACATGTATATCCTTACCTCACAGTAGTCAAAAAAATAAATTCCAGATGGATTAAATTACTGAATGTAAAAACAAAACGAACAAAAACTACCAAAGTATTAGGTGATAATACAGAAGATATTATAATGTTTATAATCTTATAATCTTGGGTGAAGAAATTATTCTTAAAAAAGATACAGAATCCAAAACCAAAAAGGAAAAACTGACAGGTTTGACTATAGGAAATTTTACTTCCATACAAACGACATTATAGCGGCCAGCCCTGTGGCCGGGCGATTAAGTTCATGCACTCAGCTTTGGTGGCCCGGGGTTTGCTGGTTTGGATCCTGGGCATGGACTTATGCACTGCTCATCAAGCCATGCTGCGGTGGTGTTCCACGTAGAAGAACTAGAATGACCTACAACTAGGATATACAAGTATGTACTGAGGCTGTGGGGAGAAAAAAACAAAAGAGGAGGATTGGCAACAGATGTTAGCTCAGGGCCAATCTTCCTCACCAAAAAAAAAAAAAGCATTAAAAAAGAGACATCAGGGGCTGGCCTGGTGGCGCAGCGGTTAAGTGTGCACATTCCGCTTCATCGGCCCAGGGTTTGCCAGTTCAGATCCCAGATGTGGACATGGCACCACTTGACACGCCATGCTGTGGCAGGTGTCCCACATATAAAGTAGGGGAAGATGGGCACGGATGTTAGCTCAGGGCCAGCTTTCCTCAGCAAAAAGAGGAGGATTGGCAGCAGATGTTAGCTCAGGGCTAATCTTCCTCCAAAAAAAAGGAAAAAGAAAAAGAAAAGGAAAGAAGAGAAAAAAAAGACATCAGAAACAAAGTTGAAGATAAGCAAAAATTATACACAAGATGTATATAACAAAGGATTAGTAGCCCTAACATATAGAGAAACTCTATAAATTAGGAACAAAAAGCTAAAGAAACCAATCAAAAAATGAGCAAAGAATATGAATAGGTAGTTAAAAAAGAATATATGAAGAGAATTTTACCTCATTACTAATCAGAAAAATGTAAATAAAGAATAACAATGTTATATAGGTTCTTATCATAAGATTGTAAAAAAAAAAAAGGAGAGCTAGTGATAATATCCAGGGTTGTTGATGGTTTGAGGTATTGGGGACTCTTCTACACTGGCGACAGTAAGTAGTGTAAATAAATAAAATCTTTCGAAGGGATAATTTGGCAGCAGTCATCAAAACAGAAACATACCATGTCTAAATTCAGCAATTCCAGTTCTAGGAATCTGTTCCTAGAGAAGTGCTCGCACATTTGCAAGAAGACACGCAAACAGGACTGCTCGTGGCAGCACTGTTCATAACAACAAAAAACAGCAATGATCTAAATGTCTATAAATAAAGGATTGATAAGAGGAAATGATTAATTCTGAGAAGGGGGTTTGATATTTTGGAGTGGTGTGGGAAAAGGAATCTTTTACATTTTGTTCTATATGTGGACCCTCTGTATTGTTTGAATCTTTTATGAGCATGTTTTCATGTATTAATTGTATAACTAAAATTTTAATGAATAAAATAGTTAAATCAATAAAAGTTATGTAATCAGATTGCAAAACTTGGAAAAAGAAAGAGGCTTGATGTGATAACTCAATTTCTGATTGCATTTTAGTGTATTTCCAGGTCCTTTTTTTTCCTAAATATTTCATTTCCTTGGAGACACTAACTTCTGGAACACCTTCCAACTAGAACAAGGAGATTTCCTAAATGTCCATTATAAATATTAAAAAATGCAGTTATTTTATTAAAAAAAAATGGTGGATTAAAAATATTCACCTTTTCTTTGGACCAACTCATCCCTGCGATGAAAGTCAGCACCAGCGTGCACAGCCCTCCAGCCCCGTGCAGACCCAGGCGGTGGCCGCCCAGGACAGCAGACACGCACAGGCTCACGAGCAGGAACGCCCTCTTCAACGAAAGCCTCGTCTAGAATCAGACAGATATTTAGAAACTAACTTACATTAATATGTAATACACTATTTGCATTATCTATCATGTATGATTGACCCTTTGATACCATGTCTCTATATTTTATATTAAATAACGTCTAAAAGTTTGACTTCTTCACCAAAAATGTTAGCAGACTTAGTATCGTGACCAAACTTTCAATTATTGTCTCATCATCTGCCACATCTTTGATACTAATGTCAGTAAAATGGTTACAATATTTTAACTAAGTGAAGAAGGAAAAAAAAAGAGACCCATATAATGTGTAATTCCATATAACATATCCAATGAATTAAAAATAAATTTCTGAATATCTCTTTAGCTAAGACAATGGTTAGGGGGAAACATGGAAGTTGCGGGAATACAAGAGTGATGCACACGCTGTAAGGCAGGAAAGGGTTGAACCTGTCAGTGTTGCCATAGTCAAAGGGAGCAGGAGTGAACTTAATCAGGGAATATGGAGAGATAAGTGGGAATCTATATCTCCAAAAATGTTCAAGGGAAAGTTTGAGGGAAAAAAGGTTAGGAAAAACTGTCAGGAGTCAATAGGCAAGTTAGTGAAGAAGGGGTGGGGTGGAATGGAGAGGGTACTCTGAGTTGAGTACATTTTCCTGATATTCCTTATTTGCCAAATTGCCATTGCCCTGCACCAATCACAACTGTGCTTGGGTTTAAGCAGAGTAGTCACTGAAGGCTACTTTTGGGAAAGAGAATTGAATATTAAATTTAATACTTCATAGATCTTCCAAAAGTTCAAATTTTTGAAAGAAATGTCTAATACTACACTTCTAGAAAATAGATTAATTTTTTATTCACCTGATCTCCACTTGGAAAATATCGAAGAAAAAATCCCAAAAGAGTTCCAACCAGCACACCAACAAGTACGTCCCAAAAAGAGGCTATGACGTTACCCAGTATACCACCTGTAAAAGCACACAAGCAGGAAAACATTTCACAGAGAAACATTCTAACACGCCCAACACAGCAGAAAATCAAATCGAGGTGCTTCTTGAAGAAAGGCACATATTTTATAGAACAAATATACAAAAATAGACTTTTAATATTTACATATGTGAAAATATACACAGATTTATTTGATAAATTAAATATGGACTCTCAAATAATTTATATTTATACACAACTGGGAAATGTTCATTGAATAAATAGGCCAGAAAACAAAGAAGTGATAAGCCACAAAGTAGTCCCCTTACACACCCAACCTGAAGCACCAGGTGAGGTAGAAGAATGGACAGAGACCGACAAAGGAGCACCTCTGGCACCTAGCACCTGGCTGGTAATGTTTCTTCTCTGATGTACTATTAAGACAAAGATACAAATGATTTAAACATAAAAAGAACAATAAAACAACAACATAAAAAAAGATTTATTCCAGGGTCAATCCTAGGAATATTCAAGGGTCAATTGAGTTTCCAGTATATTTTATGTATGCATATCTGTAGCTTATTATAATAAGCTTAAAAAAATGATCCTGGGTCACAAAAAAGTTCAGTTATGCTCTGTGAATTTAGGTCAATGCAGCATGTAAATATATGTATTTTAGAAATATTTTTTCATTAAAAACAATAAAAATAAGGGGTGACAACAGCAAAATGATGGAATGGCAAGCCCCAGAACCTCGATCCCCCACGGAGACACCAACTTAACAATATACAGTCCGAAAGCCTTTATGACAGTCTACAAACCAACTAAGAAGTTGCAGCAAGAGAAAAGTGAGTCATCATATCCACAGGAGCACTTATAAGATTACCAGGGTATTTCACAGTGGAAACCTTAAAGGCCAGAAGAGGGTGGGATGGTATACTCAAAGTGTTGAAAGAAAAAACCTGCCAACCAAGAGTAGTATTCCACAAAATTGTCCTTCAAAATGAAGGAGAAATGAAAACTTCCCCAGATAAACAAAAGCTGAGGGAGTTCATCACCACTGGCCTTGCATTACCAGGAATGTTAAAGGGAATCCTTCAAGTGGAAATAAAAGGACCTTCGATAGCAACACAAAAGCAGACAAATATAAACCTCTGGTACAGGTAAGTATGTCGATGAATTCAGAATTCTGCAATACTGTAACAGTGGCGAGTAAATCACTTTTAATTTTGTTATAAAATTTAAGATAAAAGCTTAAAAAATAACTAACCATAAAATTATGTTAGCGGATACACAATATAAAAATATAATTTGTGGTGTTGATAACATAAAGCGAGGAGGATGAAGTTCAGTTGTTATCACTTTAGAATAGATTGTTATAACTATAAGAATGGAAAAAAGATACTCCATGCGAATAGTAACCAAAAAAGCAGGAGTGGTCATACTTATATCAGACAAAAAAGATGTTAAATTAAATACTGCCACAAGAGATAAAGAAGGACATTATACAATGACAAAAACGCCAGTTGACTCAGAAGACAAGGTTAGATCTCAACATTCGCCATATTCCAAAATATACACGTATTGGAGATCTATTGTGTAAAACCTTGAAAGTCCGTGAAATTTTCAGTGACAGTTTATATGGTTAGGAGGTGGGAGAGGATTTTCTGAGCATCTACCTGCTGGGTTTTTCACTTTTTTGGTTCTCCTCAAATTAGGTTTGGTCTCCTGTAGCATGTTCCCATAGCATCCTATCCTACGTGATATTCATCACCTTTGTAATTATCTGTTTAATATAAACTCCTGGAGAACACGGCCACATGGTCTTCTGTGTCTGCTGTGTCAGCGGGCAGTACAGGGTGGAGCTTAGAAGTGCGGGTCTGGGGTCAGACTGCCAGATTCACATCTTGGCTACTCTACTCATTGGATCTGTGATTTTGAGCAAGGTACTTAATTCTGTTCCTCAGTTTTCTTATCTGTAAAATAAGCATAGAACTATTGTGACTATTAAATGAGTGGGGACATCTATGGAACTTGGAGCAAGTACCGAGCAATTACTCAATAAAAGCCGATACTGTTGTTCACTGTTTATCCTCAGAGTTTGGCACAGTGTTTGGCACGGTGGAAGAGCAGCACAAAAAATATTTTTTGACATAATGACTGATACCAGTCACGTAGGAAAAGACTGCCAGATTAGACAATAAAAAATTTAGAACTTCTGAATGGCAAAAAAAGAGATAAAGTTAAAAGGCAAATTACAAATTGGAAAAACTATAGGATATAAAACAAAGGGTTATAATTCTTAATTTTATGCAGAATCCTGACAAATCTAAAAGAACAAAAGATGAATACATCTATAAGATAACAGGCAAAAGATTTCAAGAAAAGCAATTTATAAAACCTCCCATTTGAAGAGGCCTCATCTTCCACCTCTCCAATTAGCAGAGGTAAGAAAGACTAGTATACCTATTTTGAAGAAAATGAAGAGAAAGTGGTAAGTTTGTGCACCCTGGTAGGAAATGATATTGTGACAATATGTTTTAAAAAGCTTATAACTCTATATACTTTTTAGCTCAACAATTCCACTTTTAAGATTAAGAAAATATTAAGTAGGTACAACTATTTAGCTACAAGATGTTCAACCAGGCATTATTTTAATAGGAAATATTGGAGTCAAATTCAATTTTCAACGGCTTAAGTAATTATGATGCAGCCAATCAAATAATATGCAACCATTAAAAATGTCATAGAAATATATTTACTGAAAAGAAATGTGTGATATAAAGTTAAGTGCAAAAAAACTCAGGTTACAAGAAAACATGGTCCATGTTCAATAATTTCATAAGAATATTGAGAGAGAAGAGAAAGAGAGTGTGAGGGAAAGAGAGAAGGAAAGAGGGAGAAGTCTGGGTGGATTTACATCAAAATATTCAGAATTATTATTCTTGGGGTCACGAGTATTGCATATTTTGTTTTTATCTTTTCCTTTTTTTCCTTCTTATGTATTTACATCTTATGATTTTAAGAGAAACTATATATACTACTCTTCAACTTAAAAATATTTTGGTGCTTCAATAATACAGAAGACAATTTCAAACATTGCAGATAATTAAAACATTACTAAATTTGGAAATGTTTACTTTCACAATTTCTGCAGAGTGATATTCAAGACTAAATATCACCTTTGGATTCAGAATTGGTGCAGGATATTGTCCCACCACTACCAAAAAGGCACACAATTGTCCACTCCCTGTATACTTAAGTTGTCTTAATAATAGAGCAACCAGTTATTTATAATGATGGCCAAAAAGGTACATTTCAAAAACATCTACTAAATATATTAGTAGTACTAATAATATTGCTGCTTAAAATTTTCTATCAAAAACTGTGATAACATTCCAAAGTAATATGATCAGATAAATGGTAATAATATAGGTTATAAAATTAATTGAAATACATGATTATTAAAATGAAATCATTTGTGTTAAGCAGTGGTTTCTTAACCCATTGAAATTTCTTCCCTGGTCTAGAATGAGCTTTCTACAAAGAATAAAAGATGTTAAACGTAAATAAGTCATGGTTTATAAATGGAGCAGTAAAGCTGGAAACCTTGTTTGAAGAACTAACGCAGAAAGAGCTATGACGCTACGGCAGCTGCTGTATTTTCTTGTTCACCTGTGGAAAAGACGATGCTCAAGCATGTATTGAATCCAGTGATAGCCAGGATGTCTTCCAAACTGCTAGCAGCTATTAGTAAGGTTGGAATGCCTTTCTCAATACCATATCCTTTTTCTTGCAAAACCAGCATGGAAGGGACGACAACAGCAGGAGAGACAGCGCCTAGTACAAAACTGAGAGAAAGACTTTGAAAACCAATTTTAAAACATCCTTTTAACCAAATAGTGTTTTATATTAAATTTTACAACAAGTATGTTAACCTTTACAGCAACTTCAAATGGAACAATTCTGCTTTTGAGTGAATGTCATTTAATGGTGGTAAAACTTTTCACGTATTTTTTAGTGCTGGCTAAAATTTTATAGAGATTTCATCCAAGATGTTGGGCTGAGCACAGTTGCAGCCTCTGCTGCCATCCCTAAATCCTCTGAGATAAAGATAGAAAAGTAATAGAAAAACCCATAACCTAACTGGAGAAAAGAGAGGAGTCCTCAAGGGACAAGAAGCTACGTGTATCCCAGGAAGATAAGAGACAGAGAGTTTAGGATCGAAAAAGGAAACCATAAGCCAAAATGTGCATAAGTAAAGATTGCTACAAAGATATGGTGTACTTCTAAAAATGCTCCAAGCCCAGAAACGGCAGATGCTGGGAGCAGGAGGGACCTCTGAGGAAATCAAATGGGTGATTATTTGGAGTACCACTGTAAGATGGCCAGACAAGTGTACTCTCTACACCATTCCTACCTCTTGATCAAGCCAATAAGGGACAGAGGTGTCTGCCCCAAAGAACGAATAATGACTGTGGGCACCCAAGTTATGAAGGCGAGAGAGCAAATTCCTGGAGTGGTTGATGACACCCGTGAGGAATAGGGAAACTGCTGCCCAGAGTACCTTCTGTCAGTATATCTCATCCAGAACCTTGCCTCATCTTTTCCACATTCAATTTATAAAGGCTGAGGTGTACCCCATGGAAAGATGCTCTTGGGGCCCCACCAGAGCCCATTTACCAGGCCAGTGCATACATCCCCCAGCTGCTGCTTGTTGGCTGCTGACTACTGACACCTGCAGCTTTCCAGGAGCCTCCCCCCATGACGAGAGCTTACTTGGGGATGCCTAGGTTTCCCCACCCCTACCCTCCTACCCTCCTTCCGGATAGCTCCTGCCAATGACTGACTGATGTGAGGGTCTTACAGGTTAGCGCCTTTTCCCCTGGCTGTACAACCTCTCTGGTACATTTTACGCTCAAGATTGCCCTGTGTACTCAAGAAGAGTCTAGAATTCTCTGAAAACACATATTTGCCTACTTCAGTGGTTCCTGAACTTTACTGCACATTGGAATGACCTGGTGTATTTTTTATCTGTTGCTGTATAACAAATCATCCCCAAATTTAGCAGCTTAAAACAACAAACATTTATTATCTCACAACTTCTGTGGGTCAGGAATCTGGGTGTGGCTTAGCTGTATGCCTCTGGCTCAAGGTCTCTCACGAGGTGGGTGGGTGAAGACCTGCTTCCAAGTTTATTCACATGGCTGCTGGCAGGCTTTCAGTCTCTTGCCATGGGGACTTCTCCTCAGGGCTGCTCACGACATGGCAGCCGGCTCCCCCTCAGAGAAGCAATCAAAGAGAATGCAAGAGAGAACATGCAAGCTAGAAGCCATGGTCTTCTCAAACCTAATCTTACAAGTATATCCTATCACTTCTGCTCCATTCTGTCCATTAGAAGCAAGTCAATAAGTCCAGCCCACAGTCAAGAAGAGGGTATTACACAGAAGTGTAAATATCAGAAAGCAGGGGTCAGTGGGAGCCGTCCTAGAGGTTGCCTACTGTGTACTTGGAGACCTTTGAAAAGTACTAACGCCTGGCTCCCGTTTCAAGACATTCTGACCTGATTTAGGATGGAATTCGACTAGAGTACTGGAATTTTTAAAAAGTTTTTTAAAAAGACATAATATAAAATTTACTCTCAACCATTTTTAAGTGTACGGTTCGGTAGTGTTAACTGTATTCATATTGTTGTGTAACAGATCTCTAGAACTTTTTCATCTTGCAAAATTGAAACTCTATACCCATTGAACAATGACCCTTGTCCCCCTCATCCAAAGCCCTGGAAACCACTATTCTACTTTCTGTTACCAAGATTTTGACGACTCTAGTAGTTTTTGTCCTGGCTTATTTCATTCAGCATAAATTCCTCAAGGTTCATCCATGTCGTAGAATGTGACAAGATTTCCTTCTTTTTTACAGCTGAATAATATTCCATTGTACATATACACCACATTTTCTTTATCTATTCATCTGTCAATGGATATTTGGGCTGCTTCTACCTCTTGGCTATTGTGAAAAATGCTGCAATGAACGTGGATGTGCAAATACCTTGCTGAGATCCTGCTTTCAATTCTTTTGGATATATACCCAGAAGTGAGATTAATGGATTATATGGTAATGCTATTTTTAGTTTTTTGAGGAAACTCCAAGCTGTTTTGCATAGCAGCTGCCCATTTTATATTCCAAACAGCAGTGCACAAGTGTTCCAGTTTCTCTACATTTGTGTCAACACTTGTTATTTTCTGGGGTTTTTTTTTTTTTGGTAGTGGCCAACCTAATGGGTTTGAGGTGATATCTCATTATAGTTATTATAGTTATTTTTTTTCCTTCTTCTTCTCCCCAAAGCCTGCCAGTACATAGCTGTATATTCTAGTTGTAGGTCCTCCTGGTTGTGCTATGTGGGATGCCCTCTCAGCATGGGTTGATGACTGGTGCCATGTCCACCCCCAGGCCCCGAACTGGAAAAACCCTGGGCCGCCGAAGAGGAGCACGTGAACTTAACCACTTGGCCAAGGGGCTGGCCCCCTCATTGTAGTTTTGCTTTGCATTCTCTAGTGATTATAGATGTTGAGCACTTTCATGTGCTTGTTGGCCATTTGTATATGTTCTTTGGAGAAATGTCTATTCAAGTCCTTTGCCCACTATTTAGTCAAGGTTTCTTTTTTTTTAATTGTTGAGTTGTAGTTCTTTATATATTCTAAATATTGATCTTTTCGGATATATGGTTTGCAATTATTTTCTCCCATTCTGTGTGTCGTCTTTTCACTTTGTTAATTGTTGCCTTTGCTGTGCAGAAGTTTTTAAATTTTATGCAGTCCTATCTGTCTGTTTTTGCTTTTGTTGCCTGTGCTTTTAGTGTTATATCCAAGAAATCATTGCCAAATTCAATGTCATGACGCTTTTACGTGTGGTTTGCTGGTTGTAATATTCTTGGTTGGCAGGTTTTTTCCCCCAGTATTTTGAATATATCACACCATTCTCTTCTGGCCTGCAAGGTTTCTGCTGAGAAATCCAATTGTTATCTTGTGGGAGCTCTTGCTGCTTTCAAGATTCTCTCTTTCTGTGACTTTTGACAGCTTGAATATGTGTCTCAGTGTAGGTCTCTTCGGTTTTATCTTAGTGGGGATTCTTTCAGCTTCTTGAATTTGTATGTACATTTCCTTCCTCAAATTTGGAAGTTTCTGGCCATTATTTCTTCAAATGGGCTTTCTGACCATTTATCTCTCTCTTTTCCTCCTGGAACTCCCATAATGCATAGACTTGTCCATTTAACGGTATCCCATAAGTCCTTTAGGATCCCCTTACTTTTTTTTGTTTGTTTTTCTTTTTGCTCCTCTGACTCAATAATTTCAAATGACCTGTCTTTGAGTTCACCAATTCTTCTGCTTGATCCAGTCTGATGTTGATCTCCTCTAGTCAATTTTTCAACTTAGTTATTGTATTCTGCAGCTCCAGAATTTATTTCTGGCTCTTCTTTTTTTTTTACAGTTTCTATATCTATGTTGGTATTCTCATTTTGTTGATGCATCATTTTCCTGATTTCTTTTAGCTCTTTGAGTATCTTTACAATGGTTACTTTGCATTATTTGTTGAGTAATTCATACATTTCCATTTGTTTAAGGTAGGATTCTGGAGATTCATTTTATTCCTTTGATTGATCCATGATTCCCTGTTTCTTTGTATGCCTTATTATTTTTTGTTAAATTTCTTATTTGAAAAAATGGCTACCTCTCCCAGTCTTTATGGATTGTTTTCACTAGGGAAATGTCTTCACCAATAAGACTATCTAGAGAATCTATTGACCTCTCAAACCTTTCTGGGATGTGTCTTCTCTGGGCTCGGGTGTGTTATCTCCAGCTGAAGAGTTTTGCTGTTTTCTACTCTGGAGCACCCTTGGATGTCTATCTGAAGTAATGCAATATCTCTGGAACTGTAACAACCCATAGGACTCACCTTTGTTTTCAGTGGACCTCAGGCATCCAAAGTGTGCCACTCACTTTTCTGTCAGTGCTCGGTGTCAGGTAAGACAGAAATCAGTCCTTTGGGTAGCCCCTCAAAAAGCTAGCATGTAGGACACATGTTCCAGCTTTTTCTTTCCTTCATGAGGGGGAAGTCCTGAGTTGGGAGTTTTCTCCTGATTGCCCCTTGCTGTGCAGGAAGGGGTATAGGGTAAGGTGAGTAAGTGCAATGAAATGTCCAAATTGCTTCAGTGTGCCTCTTCTTGGCCTTGTGTTTACATGGGATGCTGTAACCTCTCAAGTGGTTTCTGGAGTTCTCACAAAGGTAACCTGGTCCTTATATTGTTAAGTCAGTGTCTCTGTGGGGGAAGGAGAGCCTGGGGCTTCATATTCTGCTATCTTGCTGACATCATTCCTCTTAATCTCGGGATTTTCAAAAGCTCCCCAGGTGATTTTAATGCATGGCAAAGTTTGGGAACCACTAACTTTTCCCACAGTCTTATCTGGCTTCCTTCACTTAGACGTTTCTACTGAGAGCCCCCTCAATAAATCACTTGCATAAGAATCTTAATCTCAGCCTGAGCTTCTAAGGTACCTTGCTTGGCAATGTGACTGGCCTGTTCCCTGAAAGAGGGCAATAGCAAATAGATAAAGAAATCACAAGTTAATAGGGAGTTTCAAATACAAAAATGAGCACCTGTTAAAGTATCACCAAATATTTGGGAAAAGCCAACACTTTGAATTGAGATACTATGTTCATTAAATGGGAAAAATTTATCCCTGAGGAAAGAGATATACTAGAAAGAGAGAAACCAGACCATGACTTCAGAATAACTGTAAATATCCTCAGAATCATGAAAGTATAGTGCATCAATCCATAACATTTCAGC